TCAAAAATTAATAGTCGATGTTGGATACATAAGCTTTCACTTAGAATAACTTTATAATCATTGCAATTTAAACGATCTATTTTTTTATAAGAAAATAGTCAATCTGAGTTTTATTATCTATTCTTATAAGTGATGAGATGCTCCTATTTTCTTAAATAATGTATTAAAAATTACAAACTTTAAACTAGAGAAAATTTAATATGGTTCTACCATCTTCATTAGTCACTTCAAATTCAAAGCCATCATAAATGCTTTTAAAATCTTCTACTACTCTACCAACATATCCATTTAAATAGTCTCTAATAAAAATTATTTCTTCCAGAGATACCCTTTATATTAATTCTTCTAAATCTTTACAAAATTTTAATTTTGAATGCATATCCAATTCTACATGAGGAGCATAAACAGTTATAATATTGATAATTTTAACATCAACAACAATATTTAAAACTATAATTCTATCTCTAATTTTATTTATTTTTACAACATTATCCTTCATACACTTATTTATAATCACACCTACACTATTTTTAGTATGACTCATAAATACCAATGTTTAAATCCTAGGATATCAATCTTCGTAGTCTTTTCTCCAACTTATTTAGTTTCCTAAATACAATCAATATTTATTTTCCTATAAATCATAATATGTATGAATTCTATTAATTTGCATGTAATAGAATATATATTTAAAGTTTTTATCATAATTCTAGTTTCATAGACTAGCTTCTTGCCCACATTTGGCCATGATGTGGGAACCCTTGCTTTTTTAAACTGTACACCCGGACGGCAGTGCAATGACCTTTGCACACTTCTCGATGTATTCTGGACATACAACATGTTGTTTTCAAAGAACACCTTTACACACTCAAATTAATAAATTGTTAAAACTTTAAAAACATACTGTTTTAAATTCTATAAACAAACTTGCAGAAAAGGATGGAAATTAGATTTTAAAATTTTATTGAAGCTCTTCCTAACCCCTGGAAGCGACGCGCTGTATGGCCTGAATACAGTGACAAGTGTGCAAGGGCCGCTGCACCGGCGCCCGGGTGCAGTGTTAAATAGGCAAGGGTTCCCACATCAAGGACGGATGTGGGCAAAGAAGCTAGTCCAAGAAACAAAAAATAGGATAGGAACTTTGAATATAAGTTCCCTTACAGGAAAATTAAT